AAAAAAAGACAAAAAAAAACACAAAAAAAAAAAAAAAAAAAAAAAAAAAAAAAAAAAAAAAAAAAAAAAAAAAAAAAACATTAGTAAAAAAAAAAAAGACAAGCGAAATAACATTAATGCTTTATAAAAATTAAAAAAAAAAAAAAAAAACACACAAAGCTAATAAAAATTAACTGTTTAGACAATAGGCACAAACCTAATTTTCGTCATATGGCTCGATTTAAACTATCTCGCAATATAACAACAAGTGAACCACCAGTTTTACAATCAGCAAGTGAAACTCTAACAAGCATTCCTCCCCGAGATATGCCTTTAACTGCTGATGAAGTAATAATACTACAACAAATCAATTCCAATAAATTTAATGTAAAAACCTCAGTAGATATTCAGGCATTCAAAGTTCTAACAAGCCAGCATCCTAATCGCCCTTTTATCAAGTATTTAATAAAAGGGATTACAGAAGGCTTTAGATTCAACTTCTCAGAATCACGGTCAAGGAGAATTCAAGAAAATTTAAAATCAAATACATCTTCATTTACAAAGTATATACATGATGAAATTGAAAAGGGTCGTATATGCAGACCATTTTCAGAGAAAAATCCACCATGTGACCTATTTCAAGTAAACCCATGTGGCCTAGTAGAGAAAAAAGGAACGAATCCCAAAATATTTCGGGTTATATCTCATTTATCAGCACCATTTGGTGCAAGTATAAATAATGGAATAGATCGTACAGAATTAATAACAAAGTATGAAAACGTAGGTCATGCGATAAGGTGGATCAACTTCTATGGTAAGAGATGCGTAATGTCAAAAGTAGACATTCAAGATGCATATCGCATACTGCCAGTACACCCGGTCGACCAAGTTCTGCAAGGAATGAAGTTTGGGAGAGATATTTATTTTGACAAGGCCCTGGCCTTTGGTAATAGAGCATCCGGTGGGATTTTCTGTAGGTTTGCTGATGTAATCACATGGATCACAATTCAGCAAGGCATTAGGTCAATAATCCACTACGTGGATGATTTTTTGATAATATCTAATCCTGATGGTCATAAGGAACTTCAGCAATTTCTGCGAATATTAAACATACTAAAAATTCCGTTTAAAGAATCAAAGTTAGAAGGTCCCAGTACTTGTATTACATTTTTAGGTATTATGATAAATACAGATACTATGTCTGTATCAATTCCGCTACAGAAAAAACAGAAAATACAAGAACTTCTTAAAGAGTGGACCACTAAAAAATGGTGCTACAAAAAGAATCTACAATCCATTGTCGGATCTCTAATGTGGGTATGTCAAGTACTTCCCCAAGGAAGACCTTTTATACAACGCTTAATAAAAGCACAGGAGATAGTCAAAGGTCCAAACCACCATGTAAGAATAACCAGTCCCATGACTGAAGACATTAAATGGTGGATCAACATAATAGATAAATGGCAAGGCATCTACTTAATGGAGGACCAAGCGTGGCTACAGCCTGAAATATGCAATTTGTACACAGATGCATCAAATATCGGAGGTGGTGCGACTTTTGAAAATTACTTTATATCATTCAGGTGGTCTAATTATGATGTAATATCAAATCATGATATCCAGGAACGTGAATTACTAACAACATTTATAGCTATTTGCACATTCTCACCTTTGTGGACAAGAAAGAAACTAATAATATGGACAGACAATATGGCGAATGTAGAGTCTTACTATTCAGGGTTCTGTAAAAACTCTAAAGTCAATAAAATTATAGCACAGATATATGAAACCCAAATCCAAATAAATTTTTCGCTCAGACTAGAGCATATTCCAGGGATACAAAATGAAGAAGCAGATTTATTGTCATGATGTGGACACAAAGAATACCTACTAAAAAACCCCACAGCACGTTATTTACAACCCAATGTTCCATCTGAGTATACTAACCTAATCTCTCTCATCTCATCACTATCCCAATAGAGCCACACAAACTAACTAGTCATGAACAAAAAACACAGAAGAACCTAACGGCAGCCGATAGCAACAACAAGCAGCAGGAGTTTAAAATTAGCTTCAATGGTAATACAACATTAGACCAACAGGCTGCAAAGTTTCTGAACATTGAACCGGCCAGACATAAAACTTATGAAGCAGTTATCAAGCGATACCAAAGGCTAGCTGATAAGCACCAATGGAAAAATGATGATGGAAACGTGTGGCCTATATCAAAAGAATCTCTACTAAAATTCATTAAGCTTTTGGGCAGCGAAGTCTCCCCTCCAACTATTAATTCATACATATCTGCGCTAAAATTTCACCATACAAGAAATCTGCATGATTGGTCAGCAGTACGCAATGACCCATTAGTAAAGGAAGTGCTTAGGATGATAGAAGCAAACCACAGACACATGCCAGTGAAACAAAAGATGCACATTACAAGAACCCACCTGAATCAAATAAGACACGCCCTGACTATGAAAGAACCAGACGATCTCCTTTTCTGGTCCATATCATTGACAGCATTTTACGGACTGGCACGTCTTGGTGAACTATTACCAAACGATAAAACTGACGAAAGCAAAGTTCTGCAGGTGAGATCACTTAGATTTGAAAAAATAAACACCGCAACGTTTGTCACAATTCAACTTGCAAGAACCAAGAACCATAAGTCCGCAAATAGAACAACACTGATAATAAATCCGACCAAAGACAAGCTATGCCCCATCAAAGCCCTCAAAGCTTACATCATTCGACGCACAAGTTCAACCTATGCTCCAGGGAATAAGGCACTGTTCATCAGAGCCAACGGCTCATGGGCAACCAAACGATGGTTCAATAATAAGCTCCGATTAATCTTACCCAAAGCTGAGGTATCGGGTCACAGCTTCAGGGCTGGCGGCACAACGGAATTGGTGATGCGCGGCGTACAGCCAATAATCATCCAAAAAATCGGCAGGTGGAACTCAGATGCGTTCTACAGATACATCCGGGCACATCCCAATATGATTGCACACATATTGATGAAGGCATATAACGCGTGACTTCGTAACTTCATCACATTGGAATAACTCAGTCACATCGTCATATGCGGCAAGATAGTATCAGTCACATCGCCATGAGCGGCGGAACATATGTACTTACACGCGTCATGAAAAAAAAAAAAAAGAGGATATAAAAATAATGACAAACGATATGTACAAGACTATAATCAAATAATAATAAAAAACCAGTCGAGATTAAAAAAAAAAAAAAAACGACATCAATCAATAATGGGCGAAACAAAACAAGGGTGAGAGCGAAGAAATGGCAGTATCACAAAAAAAAAAAAAAAAAAAAATGTTGGACGACTACGTGATCCTACCATTCCTCCGCTCGCATTCCTCGTGTGCTCTCTGTTCGCAGCCGGCTTGCGTCAGCAAAGCGGGA